ATTTATATTGTCTGGACTCTATAAGAAGACTGCAATGTTAAAAACAAAATGGTGACCATTAAAAGCTCAAAGCTAAAACCTCAACAGTTCCATTGCCGGAACTAGACCTAAAACAATGTTTTTCTTTTATAAGATTAAATTGGAATTTGACTAATAAAGGACGAGGTTGACTTAATTTAAAATAACTAACAAGGACATTTGACACAGTACTCACATAAATATAAAAAGCTGACACAATGAACACTCCAAGGAGGTCAGAGTAATCTATAATTCACTCTGCCTGCTGATGAAGCTGGTTAATCAAATCTGCTTCCTTTCTTGAATCCATAAAAGGGTGTGACCTTGCTCAAAACCTTGACTGAAAATACTTACCATGCAGACATTAAATACAACGTTTTATTTGCTGCAAATGTTGAGCTGTTGTTTCTGTGCACACTTCAGGGTTACATTTCTCACAAGTGTAATTAACAAAGTGGCGTCAGAGATTGTGATGTATGGCATCTTAAATGTTAAGTTGTTATAGTTCCCTGCTGTTTGCCTGCCAACACAGGATGTAGGTGTGTAAAGCTGTTTTCCACTGCCCTTTTAAAGTAATTAATTATTTTTGACTCCTTCATTGTGCCTCTCAGACGTATTCACAATCACAGGGAGGGGGGTTCCCCTTAAAGGTCACGTTTAGACCTCTGTTGACACTTCTGCTATGATGGTGAAAAAATAGTCTGGAAGTCTTTCAGTGCTCTAAATGTTAGAAGCTACCCTCTGTAGATCGTATTTACTTTTCTCAAAACTGAAAAGGAAAGGTTTAAATATTCAAAAAGTGACAACCTTATAATTATACTTTTTTATTAGTCATCTTCTTTGCTCTTCATCTATATTTTTCCAATTAAAACAATGAATAAGAGCAAAATAGCACAGTAATCACAAAGCTGCAATTTCAATTCTCTATTTTCCATCATAAATTCATTCAAATTAAGTTTATTCACATCACTACGCAAATTGCGCTCTACATGCTCTACTTCCTGTCGATCATCTAATACATGCAGGAAGAAATGAAACTAGTCTTTGCCAAGAAATAATTAGTGAGATGGAGTCAAGTGAAGTCACTGACGCAAACTCATAATGGAATGAACTACGGAGAAAACCCATTAACATTCTGGATGAAAGTAAAAACAATTTACAAATCTAATGTTGGCAGAAGTATTACTTGACTCATGTATACACCTACACTCTGGCGTAACAATATATAATTTATCTGACGCTCACATCCAAAGCGACTTACATACAGTGAATACATTGATCTTTAAATGTAAATCTTTTCATGTTGTCAAATTGTCAAACTATTCCTTTAATATCAAGTAGTGGCAATTCACTTCAGGCTATGATATTCCCAAAATGTGGTCCTATTTACGTGCATTTATGACAAAAGCAACAGTCAAATACCTCAAATAGATAACGTTTTGCTGCACTATTTATAAATGTTTTTTCGTGTGAGCTTTCAAAGAGCTCTAACTGTCCAATCATATATCCTTGTCTTTGAGGCTGGAGTGCCAAAATAGAGAAAAAAGAGAAAATATTGCTGTAGCCTGTCATCTGCAACAGAACAAGGTCTGACATGTCTGCCAAGTGCTCAGCTGGAGTCCGCTGTTGTTTGCCTGTCACCCTAATATCCGTGAAGCGTCTATATCCTTGTTTCACATCAAGCTGCACCAAACAGCCCTGTCCTTTAGAAAGCTAGCCTCAGATCTATGACACATGAGGTTTCTTTCTTCCCCAATAGTCCAGCTCAGAAAACACAGGGCCATCAATAAATAAACAGGAATGCAGGTGGGACCGAGAGCACGGGTGTCCATCTACTTTGCTAATGTCTCTCAGAAACTTCAGATGGTTGTCTATTTTTGGAAGCCAAGTGCTTAGTATTCCCCATTTCAAGCTGCCCACTACTAGATAAGAGGAAGTCTGTGAGTGAGTCTGTGTGTGAGTGGGTTACAGGATTAGAATAGTAATAGTATACTTGCAAACAACAAAATATGTATCTGTATTCCCTTAAATACCCTTAGAAGTGTATGTACTCTGGAGATAGGTATTTTAAAGTAGAAGGGCACTCAGAGAGCAAATACCTCTTCAAAGGATGTTCCCTCAAGTGAAAAAGAATGAGTGTAACCGACCGCGCCAAAATGTAATGGGTCCTTCCTTGACCGACGCTTTACCCTTCCACCAGGTTTTGATGAAATCAAGGCTGTTATTTCTCGCTTTTCCTTGATGACAAATAAACAAAGTCACAAACAGAACCAAAAACGTATTCCATGTCAGCTACATGTTTGTACCATTTTACCATGAAGGAATAGCTAGACATTTTGGCAAATATGCTCATGTTCTCTTATGAAATACAAAAGAGTGATTCCTTTAGCTTAGCTTAGCAAACATAAAGCCTTGCTAGCTTTTTAACCTGCAAGACATCTTTATGCTAAGCTAGGCCTGGCTAGTTCTTTAACGTGCTAGCAAGGCTTTCTGTAATCACTAAGCTATCGAATGGTTCCAGTGACTCTAAAACTCACAAATTAAATTGTTGTATCACTATCTATGTTGCTATTGCTTTGTTGCTTTATACTTCTCACAGCTCCTGTATACAATTCTGATTCAGTGCATATAGGTTAAACAAGCACATTTTGGGCTTGAATTGCCTTCTCCGGGTACAGAGTATAGTCCAAAGTATTCAGTAATTATTGTGATGTACATATAAAGAAAGGATCAAAGAACCTTCCTTTGTATTTCCTAAAGGGGCTAATTCTTTAGGACTGAAGATGCCAAGTGCAAAATCACACTGTAATGTGTGTCTTCACATTCAGTCATGTGCGCAGCTGTGGGTGTACATGTGTAAATACACTCCACTACATCCGCTGGACTACAGCTCCCGCTCCTCAACCCTATTATTATCATGCCAAGGTCAGATGAGTGGGCACCATAGCAGAGGAAGACAGATAAGAACGATAGAGCGCCTAGATAAATCAGGGAACCACATTTCCATTCACTGATAGCTTCCTGGAGCTGAAATGTTATAGCTCAAGTTTGCTTAGTATCGAATCAAATCCTGTCTTTTTCTATGTAATGCTTTCTTAGATCTTGCACTTCTGATTTACTTTGCGTTTGCTGACGAGAAGGAAATCTCTGTTCGAAGATTCATTGCTGCAAAAGCACATCAGTCGAGGGCTTTCATGGAACCACAACGAAACACTTCAGGGGAGATAAACTGATTAACCATTAAATAGCTTTTAGGCAGCTATCATGTACAGTGTGATAGAGAGATAGAGGAAATAAGGGAGAGACAAGATAGGCATTGGGAGAGAATATTGATAAATTAAGCATAAAAGGGAAAGCTGCACTCCCAGAAAACACTTGATGTCAAGTTATATTTTGTTTATTTGTTTGTAATGGCTTGTACCCTTAGTTACTAAAAGGTAGACATAAGACGATGGAATTATCATTAAACAATACTGAGAAAATGTGGGTTCTTCTTTCCCTTTTCAGCAGCCAGAATTAAATATTTTAATTTGTACCTTTAGTTTTGACTTAATTGGTATACATATTTATCTTGAACTGTGTCTGTGACTACTGTTGACTTCCTGATGGTTTAATGGTGACATTTTGAGCCCACTATTCCCTCGTTATAGTACCTTCATGCATTTTACATCTGCAGTACTTAAGGTATGTTTCTGAGTGTCAGAAGCTGCCGTCACCTGCTGCACTTTGGCTGATACAAGTACTTCCTCTGCTGATGAACACTTGACTTTTCTGAGAGGTGTTACATTATTTTGCCAACTTTGCAGGTTTAGCTTTAAGACAAGATTAAATATGATGGAATCTGCACAGATGTTTAATATTTCAGCTTCTGTTAACTCCGTGAAGCCTGAATGTCATTATGCAGCTGTGAATATGACAGTTCTTCTGATCCCTGTTAATCCTGCAGGATTACAGGCTGGCATACAAAACTTCAAAGAAAAATGTTGAAGCTTCCAAAGTGTGATATTTCTTTAATAAAGACAGGCCTACAGTATACTTTGGTGACCATTAATACACCTTATTAGTGAACAAGCTTTTTATTATCTGTTCCATAATAAAATGGAGACTTGACGCCTTACCTGAATATATTTAACCTCAAATACTGTTGAGAAGCTCTTTAATGAAAGAACGTGTGTTAATAATACTCAATTAAAACTTTTAAAAGAAAAAAGGGTCAGTTTTGCCACAAAAAATATTTGTTTAAGATATGAGGCTACATTATATGTTAAGCACATGTGTGCAGTGTGCACAACTGAAACCAGGTTTATGAGGCAATAGTGCAGACTTTCAGGTTTAATTTAAATCAATATCCAGTGAAGTGTAGCCCTTTACACATACCCCCCAAGGGTAGATGGGCTCTGATTCCAACACAGCTCACCCAATAATCATCCCCTAACACCTTTAAAGTTCACAGTCAGCACTCTAATATCATGGTCTATTTTTAGTGTGTCGCAGTAGCCTACAACAACAAGAATAAATAACAAATCACTGTTCATACACTGAGTGATCATTCTTTAAATAAATATGTGCATGAATATAGAAATATGCATGTCATTAAAGTGGCATTTTTTTTAGGAAAAGGTTCATCTTTATTATTTTTTATAAAAGCATTCTTTAGCCCACTTTGTTGGGTTGATGTTTTTGTTGTTATTTAATCATGATCCAGTTTTTAGATTACATTTTGTGATTGTAAGATACATACAACTGTTCTGCAAATTTGTTCTCAGCAAACATTCTATTCTTCTATGTTTTAGGAAGCTGATTCGCCGTGAGACACAACGAAGGCGGGCTTAAGCCTCTTCATCTGGCGGTGATTGGTTGTTCCTTGAAAAAGAGGATTGTGCTCTTCTTATTGGAGGGGGACGTCAGGCGGCCCTTCCTTTTGATTGGCTAATGTAGCTGGCGGCAAAGGTTTCCACCAATTTTCAAACTGCAGTCTTCATTCAACGAGGATATGTGTTTGTGCTGAAGCCAGGAGGCAGTTAGTTCCAGGACTCAGTAGTTACTTATTGACAAGGTTTTAAAAGTTATTCTGCGTACAAGGGGGTATCAGTAAAAAAAGGAAGAATGGCTCAACCACTGAAGGTAAATGTACTAAATTCTTTATTGGCTTTGAAACTAGTTAGCTGCTAAGCTAACGTTAGCTCAGTGAAACTTCTTTGCAACGGTTACAGTAAGCTAGTTAACCTTGTTTAGCATTATCATCTTTGATATCATTCAACAAAATAATAATTGTCGATGTGCACCTTTGAGAACATAGTAAAACACCCTCCAAAACGCATGGCACGACATCAAATGTGATGTTGGCAAATACATTATAACATTTAGCATCCGGTCAGGTTTAATTTAGGGTAATGCTAACGCTACAATGCATCTCTAACTATAGCTAAAACAGGCGGTGCACAAGCGATACTTTAAACTTTAATCTAGATGTTGACACATATGTAGAAAACCGTTAATCTGCTCGAAAGTCCCCGGGTAATGTGACGTAGAATGTGACAATATGGTTTTAAATGATATTACATGTTGAGGGCTTCATTTTTGTTTTTGGAATAAATGAAAAGTGTATGGAACCAATAATCTCTATCTGCCCTCTTTCAAAGTCGGTACATTATATAATAATATTGGGAGGGATGAAACCCTCTTTAATGGTCACACATGCAGAGCACACAGCACTCGCAGTGAAATTTGTTCTCTGCTTTTAATCCTAGTACCAGGAGTCTAGGGCTGAAGTCGAATAGTCCATTTAGTATAGGAACCTTCCTAACCGAGTGAAATTAACCAGAAGTCCCTCAGTGGCAGCCATGATAAGTGCCGTTCGAATTCTCTAGAAAATGATGGGAAAGGAGGTTTCAAACTTCCTCTATAACCTCCTTTAGTTTGGGAAAAACTGGACTGGAGAAAATCCTGACCCACAATGCCTTGCAGCCGCAGCATTTGCCATCACACAACAGTCGGCCGTTCACGGAAAAAACCGATAATGACCGAGAAATGATATCATGAAAGTCACGGTGCTTATTAAGCATGTGGTAACTTGCCAAAGTGCTTTGTTTTGAACGTTCATCAGTATTATAATCAAAAAGAGAAATATGAACGTTAGTTTTTACTGAAATTATCAAATAAAGTCAACATTTCAGTCTTTACTGAGCTGTGTGGGGGTTGTTCAAATTTTAAAAGATGTTTGAATGGTGATATACACAGAGATAGATGTTAAGGACTAACGTTTATAATAAATACATTTGTATTTTAAGATCTTTTCATACAATCATACGTATTGGGATCATTTGGGACCGTAGGGAGAGGGTGACGACTCTGAAGAGCATAATTCCAACTTTGGTCATGAAGAATATGTTTCTCTGTTGTTCACAAAGCATAAAACAACAGCATCAGAGGACGGTGCAGAGTCTCGAGATGAGTTTACAGTAGTCCCTCCTTCTTCTTATACATCAGTGTTTCCCCTAGGATGGAGTCATAGCAGCGTTGCTAAGGCACGTGGGCCCAGCATAATGTGAGCGCGGGGCGCGTGACATTTTTTAGTGGCGCGTGCGAAGTGCGCCCTGCCAATTTGTTTCTATATGTCAGCACAAGAAAGGCTCTTGAGGTCTAGTACCAGGCCGGTTCTAGACAATTTGCTGCCCTAGGTGAGATTTTATGTGTGAAGAATAAATGAAAAATCTCTACAAAAAACAAATACACTGCAAAAACAGAAACTTATTGACATAGTTAAAAGACGTCAAAATGGCTTCAAATGTATTCAGTATTGTATGAACATGTTTGAATTGGGGAGTGGACGTCACATCCTCTCGGATTTTTTTAAAAACATTTTACAGTAAAATGCTTCAATCTGGTGCACTTTGAGCACACAATTACTAGAGACCTGATCTAGGGGGTACAACTCTAAAAAGCCCATATGAAAAAGATCGGTTTGCATTTTAATAATCAAANGTCAATCTGGTGCACTTTGAGCACACAATTACTAGAGACCTGATCTAGGGGTACAACTACTAAAAAGACCCATATGAAAAAGATCGGTTTGCATTTTAATAATCAAATAAGTATGTGAACACAACCAATAACCTACCATAGCCAATAACAAATAAATGTAGCTTATTTTATTTTTGTTGTTCATTCATATCTTATTTTACCTACCGGTAGTTAACATTTATTTATTTATGCATATTTTTGTATCTCTCCAGCTTTAAACGATATTTTTGGTTTACTGTCCTATAGTATACATTG